TTATTCCTATATATCTCCTCAAGCTTCCTACTGAGGAGCATTTACTAGTACTAGATCCTTGTGAGTCTGCTTTTGTGATTTGTTAGCAGTGCTCAATTTAGGGCTGATTACTTTCTGCTACCTTACATTCTACCCAGTGCCTTGTGAACCACGTGTTTCTCCTATTCTGTCTAGTGAAAACAGGCACTAATCCCAGCCCTATGTGAGCACCGGGCTCTGTTTCCTCTAAAGCTTTTAGATGGTTCTTTTCCTGAACTTAGTTTCTCCAGACATGTGCACTTGTTGGTACTCTGGTGAATATTCAAGGAGGACACTCTGCAAACCTCTGCAGGTCTCTCCATAGCACTTTCCTGATAGTCTTAGAGTCTGTGGTCCTACCTGCCTTAGGTTCCCTTCCAGTTGCTGAGCCTAAGCCTCCCCCTGGAAATTCCCAAGGATGTAAGCTGGAGCAAGTGTAGGCTTATCTTTTTTTTTTTTTAAGTTGTAAATGGACTTTATTTTATTTACTTATATGTGATGCTGAGAATTGAACTGAGTGCCTCACCCATGCTAGGCAAGAGCTCTACCACTGCTTCAGAGGTAGATCTGAACCTTTTCCTCCATCTTGACTTTTGACCACCTGCTTCTTTATGTCCTGCAATCATTGCTGACCAGCATAACTCCCACTCCAGAACACTGTAGTGCACACTCATTCCTGCCTCTTGACGGGTACCACTGCTTACCCTCCACTTGGCCTCCTCCCCCGAGTCTTCTCACTCACTCACATCATACTAGGGTTTGTTACTCCCCATTGGGCAAGCCCTTCTTCAAGTATCTCCTTATCCTAGAGCTTGTGCCAGTTGTGTGACATCCACTCAGACACATACCACCATTTTTGAGAATATTGCTTGGCTTTTGGACTTGAAATATGGGAGATCCTCTCCTTGGGCCTAAGGAATACCCACCCCACCAGCCCTTCTGTGAAGATGAAGTCGGGGGATTGACAGATGGTAACTGTGGTCAGAAGTTCTGGAGTATGGTTACATCCTCTTCCCAGAGTCAACAGCTCATCTTGAAATAGAATAGGAGAATCAGGATGCTAGGCAGATTCTGCTTCCTGGCTTTTATGATTTGCTGAGGTAACAGGGAGTGGCTTTGTCCCTCAGAGTCCCACACAAGCTTAAGAGAGCAGGATTTAGAGATCTGCACAGACCCAGAGTCTCTGCACTGAAGAACATTCTCACCTCCGGAGTGGATGGGGTGTAAGAGAAAAGTGTAGGGAGTCTGTCTCAATACCTTGTGATTTTTCATTGCAATCAGAATATGATCTTGCCCAGGACTGGGCCATGCTCAGATTTGGCTTAAAATAGGATAATTCACCTGTAGGTATACTGTATTTTTTAAACTATGGGTTACAATCCAATTCTTTTTAAAAATGAGAAGTGTAGCAACCATTACCTAGAAGTTTTGTTTTGTTTGTACCTATATAAAATATATCTACTGAGTCCTGGCCTAAAACACTGGTCTGGTTATCACAGGTCAGTGATACCACTTTGTGATCTTGGTTGTCAAGTTCCATTTCTTTATTACTTTATGTCAACTGCACATTGGAGTGTGCTAAATAAAATTTTTAAAAGCTTAAACTCATACCAGTTAGGTTGTATTCAGCTTTAAGTAACAGAAAATGTGACTTAAATCCTCAGGAGGCTGAAGCAATAGGATCATAAGTTCAAGGCTAGCCTCAGCGTTTAGGCAAGATCCTTTCTCAAAATAATAAATTCTTTAAAAAGGACTGGGGATGTTGCTCAGTGGTAAAGCACCTCAGATTCAATCCTCAGTACAAAAAAAAAAAAAAAAAGCAGACTTTTATTTTTAGTTTAGTTTTTTTTTTTTTTTTAGTTGTAGTTGGACACAATACCTTTATTTTATTTATTTATTTTTATGTGGTGCTGAGACTCAAACCCAGTGCCTCACACATGCTAGACGAGCTCTCTATCGCTGAACCACAACCTCAGCACCCACCTCCTTTTTTAAAATAAGACCTTTTAGAGCTGTTTCAGTTTCTCAGAAAAATTGAAAGGAAGGTGTGGAGATTTCCCATGTGTCTCTTGGCCCCTTGCATGCATAGTCTTCCTTCCCCATTTTTTCCATTCCCCACTAGAGTGCTTTATTTGTTAAAATTGATAAACCTATATCATAATATTATAATCACGTAAGGACCATAGTTTACATTAGGATTCGCTCCTGGTGTTGTTCATTCTTTTGGTTTGGACAAACGTGTAATGACATATATCCACCATTATAGTATCATAAAGATTATTTTCACAGCTCTAAAAATTCTCTGTTCCATCTGTTCATGCCTCCCTCTCCTCCTAACTCCTGGCAACCACTGATCTTTTTAGTATCTCAATAGTTTGCCTTCAGAGGACACTATGATCACCTCAGAACCCCTCCTTTTTCCCCCAGTTGCTGGGCATTGAACCCAGGGCCTCGTGCACGTAGTAAGCAAGCACTCTACCAATGAGCAGTACCCCAGGCTGTTTTAGTTTAAATTTTGAGATAAGGTCTTGCTAAGTTGCACTGGCTGACCTCCAACTGGCAGTCCTTCTGCCTCAGCCTCCCAAGTAGCTGAGATGATAGTCATGTGCCACTATATGCCACCTAGAATGTAAGTCTTAAAGGAGGTTGCTTGGGTTGGTTCAGAGCCCTGGTGCTCTGGCCTTCCCCTGGTTATAAGGTAGCTACTGTAGCTTCAGACGTTACATGCTCACTTGGCAGCATTCAGCTGCGGGGAGAGTAGGGGCTTTTTACCTCAGTGTGTTCTCTCTTTGCTAGTGAGGCAGAACTTTCCTAGAAGACTCTAGTAGATGTTCACAATAGGTGAAGTAGTGCCTAAACTAAGTAGGTCTTAGTGCCCAAACGGGCCCGTACGCCTTCACACCAACATAGGGAAAGGCTTGCTTAATCCAGTTCATCTAGCCGGGGCTCTTGCTGCTCCTGGAGGGTGATATTCAGTCAGAAAGAGGAGCCAGGAACTACCCTTCATCCTGTGCTCCAACTCAAGGTCTGTTCAAAGAAGTACAGACCAGGAAGAGGCTATTTCTTGTTATTGGTCCCCTTCATGGTTCACAGTTCCCATTGGGCTAAATAAAGGCTTTTTACTAAGATACCCTGCCGTTGACTGCCTCTGACCTTGGCTAGGTTACAGAGTTTTGGAGTGGGTTTCCAAATTTCTGCTACATGCAGCCTCGAGGTGAATGGAAATGCTCCCTGTCTGTTCAGGAAGAGGATTCTGGACATTATAGCGGTTCATTGCCTTACCTCTAAGCTCAGTTGTGTTGGGTTCAGTGCATGAAGCAAAGCTTGCAAGGGGTACGTGCACAGTGGCATTGTGGAATTGGGAAACTGCTTTCCTCTCTCTCGCTTACTCATTTGTAGAAGACTGTTCTAGTCCTACAGCTGGTAGTTGTGTACTAGTGAAGGGATGAGCTAAGTCTTTACCACAGCTCACCAGTTCTGGAGTGCCAGCTCCTGCCTCTACATGGTGTTTTTCTCTCTTATCCTCAGTCCCAGGCTTCAGGCAGTATCCGTGCCCACTCTGCCCAAGGACATCTGTCTCCCCTCCAGCTCTCAGGACAGCAGCACCCACCCCCAGTCCCATTTCCTATTTTGTTAAACTCCACATAATCTGGTAGTTGTGATAACATTCTCAGTTCATCTCTGCTTTCCTGTCCTTATAAATATTGCCATGTTTTTTTTAGGTTGGGATTTCCCTGCTTCCCTAAACATACACAGCAGAATTTTGTTTGGGTGAGTCGTTTGAATGATGCTTAGAACCCTGGTGGTTGCCTATCCTCAGTTTCCAGTAAAGCCAGTGTTGTGTCAGTTGTACATCAACAGCTGGCCCCATCCCATCTGGGATTCTAGTGTGAGTTTCAGGAACTGGGTGGTGTCAGCTATCACAAGTGGCTTACTTTGACTTCCGGAGAAACCGGTGCTGATGGTGTGTTTTGGAAAGGGGAGTTACAGATGTCTTTTCATAGCTCTCGCCCTCTGGGATCGCCATCTCTGGAGTTCCCCCTTTTGTTGAAGGGTGCCATTGTGGTTTGGCTAGGGAACAGTCTAGTAGAAAGAATGCAATATTTGGATTTATAGTCTAAATTTACTACTTCAAATTACTTCACTTCTCTGCCTCAGTTTCCTCATCTATGTAACCTGGGATGGTGCTATGAAAAGAATTGAATGAGTGTGTGTGAAGAAATGAGTGCCAGAGGTCTGGTCACCACTGAATCAAATAAGTAGGACGAAAGCTGCACAAGTTCTTTCATTCCTCTGGTTCAGCCCATGTGGTTCCTTTTCTCAGGAAGATTATGACAACTCAAAGCCTGCCTTGTTATTGGTCCCCTTCATGGTTCACAGTTCCCATTGGGCTAAATAAAGGCTTCTTACTAAGATTTTTACTAAATAAAGGCTTTTTACTAAGGGTCCAGATTCCTTGATGGAATACTCTGTGGTATGAGAGGGGTTCTCTAGATGAACTCCCAGTCACCCCAGCCTGGAGAGCAGCAATATATGGGGGTCACACTCAGCTGCAGAGGGGATCATGGAGTGGCAGTGGTGGAGGGGTTTGCCTCATCTGAACAGTGAAAGAGAGGTTATTACATGGTATATGTTAAAGGTACGGGGGAATTAGGGAAGGAGGGTTGCCTCTTGCCCAGTAAGCCCTGTGTGAGCCTAAAGTTGTTCTTAGTCTGGGAAGAAATCCACAGGTTGCTGGAACGTCATGATGGAGGGAGTTGACGCTCTCTGCCTTTAGACAAGGAAACTAGGAGGCAAGGTCCCTTTGTGGACGACTTCCTGAGGAACCTCTACAGGTCTGGTATAGAGGGATTCCCCAGAACCAGAGCTGCCCAGTGAGGTCCCAGGGGATCCTCCCTGGGTGCCCAGTTCTCCTGGGCTAGAATGCCCTGCCGGCGCTGGCGGGTGGGATGGGTCCTTTGCTGCTGGTTTCTGACTTGCCTCATGTCTTTCTCCTCATTGCTCATGTTACATCTGCCCTTTTCACAGGGATGCTTGAAGATGGAAAGAAATTTGATTCTTCCCGGGACAGAAACAAGCCCTTTAAGTTTATGCTAGGCAAGCAGGAGGTGATCCGAGGCTGGGAAGAAGGGGTGGCCCAGGTATGCTCTCCTTTGTTTTGTTTTATTTCCTGATATCTAGCTTTGAAATTATTTTTATAGATAGCACATTCATATGATTCAAAAATTTTTTTTAAAAGTATAAATGAAAAGTGTCATTCTCATTCTGCCTCCACTGCCCAACACCCCACAGATAACTTCTTAATAGTGTTTCTTGTGTAATGGTTTCTTTAAGCATACACAAAAACGTACTCCTTTCTCTTGCCTTTATACAAATACATTGTTCTTGGCTTTTTCATTAATCTATATTGACATTTCACACCAGAGCATAAAGAGCATAAAGGAGTGTAGCTGCATAGTATTCCCTTCAGTTGGTGTGTTAGAATTTATTCCATCTGAGCCCTAATGATGGCATTTTCAGTATTTTGCCATTATAAATAATGCTGCGGTGTCTCATCTTGTATGGACTTGATTTTACATGTATGCAAGTGTTGCTGCTGTAGGATGGATTCTCAAGTGGGGTACGTGGCTCAGGGGACCTGCGCGCCCTGTATTTATCAGGTCTTGCGGAGGGAGTTTGTGGGGATTGCATTCTTTGAACTGCCACGGGCAGGCTTTGGGGGTGCTGTGTCCTCCCCACCTACCAACTGAGTATGGGGTTAGAACTTTTGGTGTTGGGACAATATGATGAATGAAAAATGTTATCTTGTATAGTTTAATTTTTTGTTTTATTGATTGTTGATTACCTTATGTTAGACAGCTTATGAGAGATCAGACTCATGAAGAGAGTCATTTTGCTTGAGTCTGTTTCCTCACCTCCTTCCTCCCTATTTGTGGGAAAGCTTTTATTCTGCCAACGCTTCAAAATTCCCAAGAGATGATGGGGGACCTAGAATTGCCAAAATGTAGTAGGATTCTGTCAGGCAGATTTTTTTTTCTTTAATCAGGTAAGGGGGTGTTCATGGTGGGCTGAGACCTAGCGGGCTCTGCATGATGGCAATTAGTCTGTTATCTTCTTATCGAGGAGAATTGGAAATTTAACAAGACAAGAAGAAAGATTTCTGTCAATCTCCTTTCCAGAATACACAGTGTTCCACTTTCTCCATGAAATATCACTGACTTCTCTCCAAATAGACTGGAACTTGAAGCCTTCCTACTCCTGAGTGTGGGTCTCTGTCCTGAGGAGAGAAGGTCTAGCAGTGCAAGGAAGGGGCCCTGTGTGTTTTGCCTCCCTCGGGAGCTCTTGTCAGCCATGCCATTTTGCCCCGTCCCCTGTAATTTGGCCAGCTCTTGAGTCTGTAGTCCATCCCCCGTCTTTTGTGCCAACCATTGTTCACACCACAGACATCCTCTGTCTGTGTCTGCACTAGGACAATGACTGTGTTATATGTCCCAGGTGTCACAACTGCCATTGAGATGGTGTTACTAACCTACTTCATGTCTCAGGTGTGACGAGGCATCATAAGTGACTGGGAGAAGCCCAGACTCCCCTTGACCCAGTGCTCTGGGGTGGGTCATAGCCCTATCACTTGGGACACGTTGAGGTAGATTGAGAGCCACACAGAACTCCCTATACTAAACTCCCCTGCACAGAAGCCTTCAGCCAGTGAGTTAAAGGCATAGGAAGAAGGGAGGATTGTCTTGTGCCCCTTCTTTTTTGACATTGTTAGCATTCTGGTTTTCGAATTTCCAGGTATAGAATCATACAAGTGCTAGTTTCACAGCCTCTCTTTTTTCGTCTAACAGTAGTCTTGGGCACCTGTCCATGGAAGTATATTCACAACTGCTATATTCCTTCCAACTGTGTGGACATGCCTGTGGAACCACTCCCACTGAGACGGGTTGTTAGCATATATTGTAGATGTACCTTGCTCAAAGAAAATGATTATTTTGAAGTTATTAGGTAAAGCCATAAGTTTTAACTGTCCTTAAAACTGTGGTCTAATGTGTCTCAGTTTCTGAGAAGTGCTGTGGAAGTGTGGATTCTGAACTGCATTAGCAACATTACTGCATTCCCCCTTAGTCAGAGCCAGGGGCACACCGTGAACAATCAGAGGAGAAATAAGCGAAGGGTGGAGATTCAGCAGAAAACCTGCTCAGTGTTTCAGGACAAGGCATTTACATCTGTTGGCGTATTTGATTAGAAACTCAAAAAAAGTGCGCAGATATATTTTTTTAAAGTGAAAGTTTTTCCTTCCTCTCTGGTTACTCACCACTCTGCTTTCCATTGGAAAACACTGCAATTTTCATTGTACTTCCAAAGATGTTTTCTGTTTATGTAGTAGGGCAAATATAAATATTTGTACAAATAGGAACTCACTGTACATGCTATTCTGTACTCTAGAAAATCATATTATCTGCTTTCAAGTTTCTCAGTATGAATGTAAATATATAAATATAGAAAACAAAAAAAAAGTAGACTATCCCCAAGTATTACTTTATCTATGTATTTGCTTTTAAAGCAAAAATTTGATAGGCCTCTATATTCAGAGTTTCCACAATACATTCAGCCAACCAAAGATAGAAATTATTGGGGATGGGGAGTTTAATCTGTACTTACTGACTTTTTTTCTTGTCATTACTACTTAAACAACAGAATATAAAAACTTTGTAGCATTTAAACTGTTTTAGGTATTATAATAGAGGCTATTTAGCTTCAAGAAGATGTGTTTAGGTTATATGCTAATAGGTTTTTTGTGAGTGACTTGAGCATCCACAAATATGAAGGGATGGCTGTAATCCTTTTACAAGAGCATAGATGCCACCTAACCACATGTCCTCTGAGTGACAGATCACTGATGGACTGGAAGGCGTCCGTCAGTAAGATCTAGGTGGAAAGGTTGTGGACCTGACCTTTAGGGGTGTCAGGGTTTTTTAACTGCTGTTGGAATCCTTGGAGTCTCACTGCTCACCTCAAGTCCTTCAGGAAGTAAGGGGTGCTGCCTGCAGCCTGGGCAAGTACAGAGTTCCTGGGATTTCCTAATAAACACCATCCTGACCAGAGAACACCCTGGGAAACAGCTCTGCTTCTCCAGAGACAGATATGTGTCCTGCTGAGTGTTTCTTTCTTGTTCTTTCCACAGATGAGTGTGGGTCAGAGAGCCAAACTGACTATCTCCCCAGACTATGCCTACGGTGCCACTGGGCACCCGGGCATCATCCCACCACACGCCACTCTGGTCTTCGATGTGGAGCTTCTAAAACTGGAATGACAGGAGTGGCCCCTCCCTCAGCCCCCTGTTCCTGGGTAAGGAAACCTGCTGAAGGCCTTAACTACCTTTGCTCCTTCCTTGTGAGGCCCAGAGTTTGGGAAGAGAACAACAACAACAAAAAAGCCACAGGGCTCTCTTTCCCCCTAGGTTCTTCCCTGTAGGGTGTCCTTTCAGTGTTAATTAGTGTGTATCTAGAATGTAAAAGTTGGTCACCCTAAGGAAAGGGACAGCTTATACTCTCCAATTAACTCAGGGTGGCAGCTGTTTAAAGTCTTTTTATGTCACTTATTAACTAAATCTGAGCTGGGACTGTGGAGACACAGGGCAGATTTCTAGTTTTGGTGCTTTAGTTCTCTAGAAATAAGGCTCTGATGACTTTGCTTCCCCCATTTCTAGAAGCCCAGGAGAGAAGCACCTCTAATATGAATACCATGTCTACTGTGTGGCGCTCTCAGCTGTAGGCTTCCTGGTTACTGCCAGTTAGATGATGTGAGGGAGGCTGACTGCCCTGGGGACCGAACCCAGGACACTCATGGCCAACTTGTACCAGGGAGTGGGGCAGAAAGACAAGGTCAAAGGATGCTCGTGAGATGGAAAGGATGTGCTCAGACCAGTCCTGGGAAGGGACTGTATCCGTCTTCCTCGGCAGCAAGTGAGGAGCCTAAGTCCTGGAGAAAGACCTTCCTCAGTTCCATCCAGGCAGTAGCAAAGTAGGACCAGACCCATTTCCTGATTTCCCTTCTTTTGCCCTTATTTCTTAGGAAACCAAACTGAATATCCCAGTGGCGCATCCCTTTTCATGTAGGTGTTAGAATCATTAAACACACCTGCTGTCATTCCTTCCCAACTGGCCCAGACCTTTTTTTTATTCCCTTCCTCTCCTGCTCTGGGGACCACGAGGGCACAGCCAGGGACTGGGTGAGGGTGCTTTTGTTTGAAAGCTACAACAAATTGCTGCCACCTGTGCTGTGGCAGTTGGAACTACTTGGAAGCTTGGCTTGCTTGCGGGGGGCGGGGGGGGGGGCTTCCTGGAGTGAGAGGCTTCTTCCTATCAGTGATCTTCCTCTCCATGGCCTGATCCTAGGTGTAATTCACACCAAGGTAACATAGGCCCGGCTGGACTTGACAGCTCTAGTCTCTTTGCTTGTCATCCTACCTGGAGGGAATTCTGGACCTTTAGAGAAGCCTCTGTCCACCCAGAGGTCTACACCTAACCCAAACCCCCTCCTGTTCATTGAGAGCTGAGTCATTTAAATGTAAAAGGTTGAGTTGGGAGGATTCACTTTCTGTAAACCCTGATGAGTTGGAGAGAGGGAAAGGAAAAGAGAAAGATGGTAGGACACCCTAACCTAACCTTCCCTGCCCTCTGCTGAAGAAAATTTCAGCACTTCCTGCAAAGGTCTCCAAGGAATGGCCAAGGGCAACCCAGAAAGTTGTAGATTTGAGTAAACGAACTGGAAAAATTTCCCAAATCTTTTCACCATGTCAAGAACCAATTAGAGCTGTGATTCTCAGGGTAGATTACACATTAAAGACCTGAGTAGCTTTTGAGGTCACCCTAAACCAATTAATTACAGTCACCAGGAGTGGGGTCCAGGCATTACTTTTTTTTTCAAGCCCCGGGGTGGGCCAAGCTATACACAGCCAAGTTGGGGAGCCATTGATAATGGGGAACTCCACTGCCAGCAGCAGGGTCCAGCCCACCTGCTGTTTGCAGCAAGCCAAACTTGGCCTCAGATTAACAACAAAAGAGCAAAACAAAACACATGGACCAGTTTAAGCAGGAAGAAGGTTGCTGCTCCCCTGGGAATCCAGCCAGTGCCCATCTGGCTTTCTCCACCTGGAAGAGAAGTGATGTGGTCCCCGGAAGATCTCTCAGCTGCAGGGGATGGGACTTGGCATGGCAGATGGTATTGTGTCTGTCTCCACAAAGAACACAGAGTTGCTGGAACTCACACATTTTTCTGTCCCCAACAGATCTGCCATGGAGGGATCCGGTGCCTCCAGACGCGTGCACATGAATCCATACGGAGCTTTTCCTGGCGTCCCACTACACTTTGTATAAACATCTACCCTGACTGAATGTGTTCTGTCACTCAGCTTTGCTTCTGACACCTCCATCTCCCCTCCCCCTTTCTCCTTGTATGTGTGTTTACCTAAACTATATGCCATAAACCTCAAGTTAGTCGTTTTGTTTTCATTTTGGGGTGAAGATTCAGTTTCAGCCTTTAGAATCTAGGTTTCCATTTAAGTATCTTGACAGGTATTAACAGCACAAGTAATGGGTTAACTTTAGAATAGGAATTGGTGTTGGGGGGTGGGGTTTGCAAGAATCTTTATTTTATTTTATTTTTTTGGATGAAATTTTTATCTATTATATATTAAACATTCTTGCTGCTGCGCTGCAAAGCCATAGCAGATTTGAGACTCTGTGGAGGGCTGAATTACTCTCTGATGTGAGAAATGTCCTTGGGTTAAATTCAAAGCCCTACCCAAAACTGCAGTGGGGAGGGGAGGGCCTTTTCCTTGCCAGCCCACCCCCTCCCCAGAACCCCTCTGCCTTTTGAAAGCAGATCACTTTCACTGCGATGTTGACACTACAGGTATCTGTCCCTGGGCCAGCAGGGACCTCTGAATCCGCCTTTGTGACCTGGCTGGTTTTGGTTTGGGGTCTTTTGGGTTTTTTTTGTTTGGGGGGTTTTTTCCCTTTCTTTCCTCCATCTTGTGGTTTTTCAGAACTTTTGTAATATCGAAGCTATCCAAGTTCCACTTCGTAAATTTTAAGAATTTTAATTGAAAGTTTAAATTGAAGGTGCTGTTTGTAGACTTCAACACCCAGTGAAAGCCCGGCCATCTTGACACATCCTCGAGTGTCCTCTCAGAAAACGCTGCTGGCCACCGCAGCTTCAGCACCGCCTATTTTTTGATGCTTGGCTCTCTGCTGATCTCCAGGTTTCCTGGCTTTTTGTCCCTCAGCCCCTTCTTACCCTTTGCTGTCCTGTGTAGTGATTTGGTGAGAGAAATTGTTGCTTTGTCCCCGCTTCCCCCGCACCACGTATGAGTTTCAAGTTTTACTATTGCAATAAAAGTGCTTTATGCTGGCTTTTCTCAGCTCCCGTCTCGGTGGTTCCTTTCATGTGCTTCCCTTGCCTTTTGGTACAGGTTCTGGGAAGGCATTGGCAGGGGCAGGGGTTCTAGTGTTCAGCACTGTCTCAGCAGAACTGCAGCAGTGAACACCTTGCCCCTGGCTGTGCTGGGGTGCGTGGCCAGGCAGGGCAGTAGGTTTGCACCAGAGGAACTGCTTAGAGGTCATGTCCCTTGTTCCTTAAGTGTGTGTCCTGGTAGAACACTGCTGAGTTCTTAGGTGAAAAAAGTAAGATGGAACCAACTCCCAAAAAGGGAGGTCCAGACCCATTGGAGATTGGCTGTGAGCAAATTGGTGAGGAATAATGAAGGGAAGAGCTGGGTTTTAAGCTGGAATTCTAGGTGACCTTTGGTGTGGAGAGACTTTGCCATGTGGTCAGGCTGGTTGGCTCCACACCTCCTCTGGCCCACCCTGTACATGCTGGTCAGAATAGAAACCACCAAAGATGCCCCCACTCCTTGAGAGGCAACTTTACAATTGTTCTGTTTGAGACTGGTTCTAAACATGATTTGAAGACTTACACTGGAGTAATATTCCAGGTTTATGTCTTATTTTCCCCCAATTTTTTTTTTAATAAAAGTTGTTAAAAAAGTGAAAGATTATTTCAGTGACTATCTCTGGTTCTTTAAATTTTGCTGTTCCTATTGTCACATCTCTCCATTCCTCAGTTCACCCTTTATGTCACATTCACAGTCAATGGCAGGCATCACAATCCCCCCCAATACATATCATAAACTAGAGGGCAGTGTTTGTTTATATTTTTGCTCCTTATCACAGAGCATCATCAAGTCAGAAAATACCTTATGCCCTCTCCCCCATCAGTCCCCACACTAGTTGTTTTGGGGTTTCCCCTTATAGATGACTCTTGCCTGTTGTACTAATTTAAATGGCATTCTACTTGTGTCCTCTGGCATAGGGTCCCTGCCCTCCAAAGTCAGTGCTGTGCTTTCCACCCTGGCACATAGGAAATCTGTTCTTGTGGAACTCAAGAGAAACCTCTGAATTGGGCAGCAGAATCATGGCCTCTGGGAAGCTCACATCCTAGTCCCTGGGATCCTTGGATGTGACACTTGACCTGGCAAAAGGAATTTTGTGGATATGGATAAGTGAAGGGCCCTGAGATGAAGAGATCATCTGGATTACCTGGTGGAGCCAGTGTATGTTTTACAAGGATCCATACAAGATTCAGAGAAGGAGATGTGAGTTGGAAAGACATTTGAGAATGCAGTGGGCGCTGTTGGCTTTGAAGATGGAAAAAGGGGCTAGAAGCCAGGGAATGCTGATAGCCTGCAGAAGCTGCCACAGTCAAGGAAATGGATCCTCCCCCGGGTCTCCTGGAAAGCACATAGCCCCGCCCTTGCCTCCTTTCTAGCCCTAGAGGTGCATTTTGGATTTGTCTGACTTCCAGAGCTACAAGACAATAAGTTGTTTTAATAGAAGATCATATTTTTAAACAATAACAACTGAGAATATTTTAAAACTTCATTAAGAACTATGTAATGTTTTGAACGACCAACAATAAAAAAATAAATAAATAAAACTTCATACAGGATCATTACCCTAACAAATTCAATTTCTTTCCCTGGGCACTTCAAACAATTTTTACTTTTAATTAAAGGCACAAGTTTTTACATTCAATCACAGTTTAAAAAAAAAAAAAGTCTACATTTTTCCCCCTTAATGTTTTATCGGGAATATTTATTCATGTTGCAGAATAATCTTTAACTGTTTTAAGAGAACTGTAAATTGTGTCAAGTGAATATCAAGTAACTACTTTGATAAAGGAGAACTTTTCATTTAGAAAATGAAATTATGAACCATTTACCATGGTGCCTACTGGTAGTCCCAGCAACTTGGGAAGATAAGGCAGGAAGATTGCTGGTTCAAAGCCAGCAAGACCCTCAAAAAGTAAAAAGGACTGGCGATATACTTCAATGGAAATACCTCTGGGTTCAATCTTCAATGCCAAAAAAGTAATAATTCATACAAATGTGAAATGAGCATGTTTAAAAAGATTTAACTCATTAGTTAATGAGAATCAGATGTTTTCATCATTCCAAAAGAAAATCCAAAGAGTAAATATATAAACCCAGCAGGAGAGCTGAAATTAATTTGCATAATAGATACAAAACTGGCAAAATAAGCCAATAGCTACAGCAGTAAACAATTACATTCCACTGGTCACAGTTTGCATTTCTGAGGATAAGAATAATCTGCATCATACTTTCTCTGAATTTACATAATTGGAGACACTCCAGAAGGGTAGGCTAGTGCAACACCCTTCAAGAGGGACAGGCCTATTTCCAAGTCTTTCCCAGGGTTTCCTTACACCCTATTATTACATACTTGGGTTATTTCCAATTTTAGCTTTCATTAAAGTTAGTACATCTTTGAACATGTAACCTTTTTCTTTTCTAAATACCTAGACCCTGTAAGAGAAACTATTAGAAGGGGGCCTGGAGAAACAGAGGTTTAATGAGTTTTAATTCCTATTATAGGTTTCCTTTTTCCTCACACTAAAATACACCATGTCCAGCATCCAACATCCCACAGCAGAAAATGGCTTCACTTTACATTTTCCCAAAGCCCTCTTTGACTGGAATGTGTCCCACAAAGTTTATATGTTAGAAACTTGATACTTGATGTGTCCATGTTAGGAGGTGTTTGAATCTGGGCACTCTGCCCTCCCAAATGGATGGATGGATACCAATATCACATGAGTGGGTTTGTTATTGATGGATTGAGTCCTTTTAAAAGAATTCTGTCCCCTTTTTCTCTCCCTCTCTCCCTGTCTTTGCTCTTTTACTTTCCTCCATGGGGTGACAATAAGAAGGCCCTTAGCTGGGCATGATGGTGCACACCTATAATCCCAGTGACTCAGGAGGCTGAGGCAGGAGGATCACAAGTTCAAAGCTAGCCTCAGCAGTGGCTAGGTGCTTAGCAACTCAGTGAGACCCCGTCTCTAAATTAAAATATAAAATAGATCTAGAGATGTGACTTAGGGGTTGAGTGCCCCTGAGTTCAATCCCTGGTACCAAAAAAAAAAAAAAAAGAAGAAGAAGGCCCTTGCTGGGTGCCAGCACCTTGATTTTGGACTTAACCAGCCTCCAGAACTGTGAGGAATTTCCGTTCACTATAAATGACCCAATCTGTGGTACACTGTTTCAGCAGCATAAAGTGACCCAAGACTTCCTCACACACTCCCATTTCCCCTCATAATCATTGGCTAGAATTGAATCTGAATTGACTGGCCTGGCGCCAATCAGGACCCGACCCCCAGGGCTGTGGAAGGACCCCAAAGTTCAGAGTCCTGGAGCCCCCAAATATAATCAAGTTGTGTCAGTACAGAGGAGGGCCCCACTGGAAATAGTTTATGTTTAGTGACTACATTTTCACTTCTTTCCTTTTTTTTGTTTTATTTTTGAGAAGCATGATGATTACATTCACATCACAGGGTTCAGGAAGACCTGTTTCTGCTTCTGCTTCCGGCTGCTAAGGCTTAGCCACCAAATGACGCTATGTCTGAGTCTTTCCATTCATCTGACCTAAGTGGGGGGGGGGGCGGTGACACAGGTGGTCAAAGTTAGCAGTGAACTTTAAGATACCTTCCAACTTGGAAATGTTAAGTACTTGAAATGTGGTGATTCATAGGGGAAGTTTCCTGCCGCCATTACCCCTCCCTACCCCATGAAACCCTGAGGAAGTTTTGCCAAAAACATCCCCTGGACCCCCACTAGTTCCAGGAAATGGGTAGCCACAGAAAGCCCTCCGCCCCTGTCCTCTTTTGAAATGCTCCCAAACAGCTCACCCCTTGCAGCTAATCCAGGTAAGCCACATGCTCCTGGAGACCAGTCAGTCTCTTCCTGCTTCCAGGAATCCTACCCCGATGGAAGGTTCACTAGCCCAGCAGTCACTATTTTCTTTTTATACTCTATAGACCATCCTCTCTGACACCTTTGAATCACGGCTGAAACAAGGTGACCACAGAAGTATTTCCCTTGTTGCAAGTTTATGAATGCACAGCCTTTGTTAATTTTGTCTGACGCATGTGGGATGTGTGTAGGAATTCTGCCTTAACGCACATCCTGTGTAAATGTGGGTTCGTTCTGGTTGACCACCTTGGACTACATTGCCTTCTTGAACCACTGAAGCCAGTGTAGGAACCCACATTCAGACCTCTAATTAAATCCAGTGGATAAATGAATGATGAAGGACAGCTGACATAAAATGGATTAAAATTAAATGCCAAGGGCAGCACTCCCCTGGCTTCTGCCCAGAGCACATGATGTGCTCCTCAAGTCCCAGGAGTACACAGGGCACTTTGATTTCTGAACCATCTAAGGCTGGGCTTGCTGCAGCAGCTGCCCCAGCTGACAGCCAAACAGCTTTCCCTGCAAAGGTGGAAACACATGCCAGTCTGCACATGGGACTGGTGTACTGTCAGACCTGTCTACTAATGACCACTGTCATTTGTCCTATTTTGCCATTGATTTGTGTATTTCTCAAACAGTACATGCCCAAAATTTAGGAAAATAGTTCAGTTGAACACAGAGTATACTTCTGATTTGTGCCATTCCTGTAGTTGATGGATTCCAGTATTTGGAGTGAAGACAAGATGAGACTAAGGAAGTGCACCTGTGAGAACTGTATGTCCTAGTGAAGGAGATCGAAGCGGATGAGGGCATCGTGTCAGGCAGCTGCATCTGAAGGCTGCCAAGTCAAGGCCAGGAGGGAAACGGTTCTAGGCTAATGGAGCAGCAAATGCAAAGGCCCCGAGGGGCAGTGCACTGGGGGATCTGGAGAGACCACTGGAAGGTCAGGAGGGGTGAGCAAGAGTTGGCAGGACAGAGTTAGGCAGGGCTACATTATAGGCACAGTGAGCACGACAATGCCACGGGTAGACTTCAGCAAAGTAGAGGTGTGTAATTGTTTTTAAAAGATGTTATTGACCAGGTGCTGTGGCTTGG